AGCTTTGCCTTCGAATCATCCCTATTTGGCTACTTCCTACAACAACATCGGTGGAGTGTATAACAACATGGGTAACTACTCGAAAGCACTTGGATTTTACGAAAAAACACTTAAAATCTTCGAAAAAGCTCTGCCTCCGAATCATCCTCAATTGGCTCAATCCTACAACAACATTGGTGAAATATATAGAAACATGGGTAACTACTCAAAAGCACTTGGATTTTACGAAAAAACACTTAAAATCTTCGGAAAAGCTCTGCCTCCGAATCATCCTCATTTGGCTACTTCCTACAACAACATCGGTCTAGTGTATTGCAACATGGGTGACTACCCGAAAGCACTTGGATTTTACGAAAAAGCACTTAAAATCTTCGAAAAAGCTCTGCCTCCCAATCATCCCTTATTGGCTACTTCCTACAACAACATCGGTCAAGTGTATAACAACATGGGTGACTACCCGAAAGCACTTGAATTTTTCGAAAAAAAAGCACTTAAAATCTTCGAAAAAGCTCTGCCTCTCAATCATCCCTCATTGGCTACTTCCTACAACAACATTGGTGAAGTATATAGAAACATGGGTGACTACCCGAAAGCACTTGAATTTTTCGAAAAAAAAGCACTTAAAATCTTCGAAAAAACTTTGCCTCCGACTCATCCCGATTTGGCTACTTCCTATAACAATATCGGTCTAGTGTATTACAACATGGTCAACTACTCGAAGGCACTTTCTTTCCTGGAAAAGGCACTTACTATAGCACAAAAATCACTTCCACCTACACATCCTCTAATTAAAATAATCATAGATAACATTAACCGCTTAAAAAAGATGTGAATTTGTTTTCTTTTTGTTTGCTCAATAAATTCGATTTTATTGCTAATAGTACTATCTGGCTTTCCTCGGCTCTTCATCGCGCACTTGCATGCGCGGCTAGGGGATTCTCAACGAACCTGCTAGAGTAGAAGCGAAGCGAACTGCGCTGAACTGCTGTGGCACTCTCCTTAAGTGTGATGTACACAATGGAGGATAGGAATCATACGAACATAGTGACACTATGAGTATTAAACTACTTTGTCCTCTTAGGAACGGGGATGTACCTTCTCAGGGTACGAAGTCACTTGAAGAACTGTGATAACAAAGAAAAATAGATGTTGCCATTACAAGGACATTACTATAAAAAGAAGAATAATGGCTTAACTTATGATTAAACTTCTCTACTTCCTGGCTATTAGTAATTTATGCTAATACGCAAAGTACCCAACTTTTCAATAGTGACTAAAACCAATCTCACTAACATCCGCATCTCAACTACTCAGGCTCCCAAACACCCACTAATGTCCACTTTGTATTATTAATAGAAAAAATACATCTTCAACCAAGGCGATCAAATCGACCATCGTCACACTAACACTGACAAACACTCATGATCTATCTTTTGATCCCAATATGTGCCATCGTGGAATCACTTTTTTTTATTAAATTTTTTTTCTGAAAATGTCAAAATAGTCCCCAAAAAAGAAAAATTCAATTAACAATCAGTATCACCACATTCAATGGCAGTTGCATCCAACTTATATTCATTGACATCCACAAAAATATTCAATTAACTTGTCTCTGAATACAATTAAAATGAATTTCGTAATGTATTTATAGGGAACATGCCTTAAAATATGAGAAAAACATCTAAAAATGAGGAAAAATAGCTAAAACAAGGAATAAAAGAGCTGAAATACACAATAGCATCTCTTTGAATTTTAAAACATGTTGTTTGCATCCATTTTGCATTGACAAACATCAAGAAAAAGATAGAATTCACTTCATGTCATACAGTAAGACATATTTTCTTATGACCTTCTTCTCGAAAACACTGATATAGATCGAGTAATAGGTAATTAAATTATACTTACATGCAATTGAAATCTAACTTATATTCACCAATTATCGCAAAAATATAGAACTTATTTGACAATATGAAAAAATTTTGGTTTTTAACTATTCTCATATGCTATTTCATTAGCAAATATATCTCAAAATGTGTAGTAATACTCAAAATCATTCATCACAACAAAGGTGACATATGATTAACATCCAATTCATATCTGCCACATTGTTGATTCACATCTTTTCGAGAGTCACCACTGCCGACTAAAACTTGTTCTATAAGTTGGGTGTGGGTGTGGCTGTAGTGTGGGTGGGTGTGGGAGTGCGTGTGTGGTTGTGGGGTGTGGGGTGTGGGGTGTGGGTGTGGGTGTGGGTGTGGGGTGTGCTGTCAATATTCTCTGGACATCCACACCCACACCCACCCTCCGATAACGATCGACCTCCATCACTCGATCGACGATATGTTGGTGGACGTCATTTTGAACGATTACGAGAAGTTATGAGTTTCATAATCGAAGTCTATCGACCATTTCATCGTTCACGTGATTGGATGGAATCATCCAATTCGAAATTGTACGGTGCTGTAAGCGACTATGAAGATGCTGAAAAAGGTGTACGAGAAGTAATTTATACATTTATTCGTGAAACATTTCAAATGGGTATTTCATGGTTAACTCAAATGTATACATTTCTCATTCATTATTTTGCTAAACATGTATCGGAAAAATTACTTTCAGAACCAAAATTTTCTCATCTGAAACGACATACAAAATTTCTTAGCATGGTCAATCTTGATTATCATAAAACAACAAGACAATTTATTCGAAAGGCTATTGCTGGTTTCAAACATTGTCGTTATGCAAAAATGGCTTATGTCAGTCATGGTGTAAGTTTGAATACTCAACGATTAGGTCGTTCATTAGTAGTACCCGATAGTAATAGTGAAGAGAGAGAAGAACAGAACGAACAATCCTATCTCACCAATCGACTTTTGGACTATGGAAAAACGACGATTCAATTAAAAGCTACATCTGATCCGTTAAGTTTTATCTTCAGCGATGGAAAATTTTTGCCGGCTACTCGTGATCCACTCACAAATGATTATCTAAAACCAACGCAACGGGCTGTAGAAGAATTATACAAAGCTGTACGTGGACATCTAGTCTATGATATGAAGACGAGTTTTTTTGCTAATGTCGTTCTTGAAATGCAAGAATTTAGTAAATCGATACCATTCGATAAAGGTCTAATTCCACGAATTATGAGTATGTCCGACGAGCAAATAGCCTTATTAGCTAATATTCGTATTGATGAACAACAATGTAAATTAAAATATATTGACGAACGTCTAACAGAATTGGAAGAAACACGTGATGCTGTTGAAGTTGTATGTAATGAATTTTATAAAAATCGAGAAGATAATGAAATGTCAATTGAATCTACATCAGAGATGAAGCGAAATATTCGTCTTAATCATAAAAAACTTCGAGAAAAACAACGACATAAAATCGAAGATCAATTACCTATTGATCGTAAGGAGAAGACGACCATTGATGAATGGTCCACAACTGTTCTGAGTCATAGCGGAAACACTTCCGATAATGATGATGATGAAGAAGAACTTATGTCATTAGATAATAATGATGATATTGAACAATTTCTCCTTCAAATATATCGTAAACATGATGAAATTGATCTTAAATATGGTTTTCTTGATGATGATGAAGAAGAAACCGATGAATATATCAATGATCAACGACCAATCTTGACTGATGCGACTACAGTGGACATTGAAAATGAAAATCATCAGCAAGACGAACTTAACCATGATTCTTTAAGATCTGAAGCACCAACTACAGAACAAGATGCATCAAGAGGAGAATACATCGTTCTTAATGAATCCACATGATTGACAAAATCAAATAGTAGGTAGGTTGTTTATTCGTTCATATCTCTCCTTCGAATATTTATATATAATTTTTAGATCAATAGAATATCACTTCCAAAACGTGGATCTTAAGTTGCGATGACATTTTATAAGTTTAAAAGTCTACAATAAAAATTTTTTATTATCGTTGAATTATTCAAAACCCATGATTTCAATTAGTCATAAACCAGAAAGATAATCAATAGCAATCTTCGATTATTTTCATTTGTTTTCTTTTCTTTTTAATATTAAAATAAATATCATGTATTTACAAATAACTTCAAGAACTTTTGCATTTTGAATATTTTACAAATAGTTTATATTTTACTATTATCCACATATTGTGCCATTTGCGTCAATAGCACTAGAATACTCTGCTATTTGTCATGATATTAAAATGATAAAGTCAAAAATAATAATAATAACTATTTTATAAAATCAACATTCTTATTTTACTCATGCACAATCATAGTTTCACTCAACTACGATCTTATTCATCATGGTGATAAGACTTTTTCATAGAAAATCATCCATGATAGTCTCATATTTCATAACAACATCATGATAATTCTAATTGTCCAGTCGACGAAAATGGATAATAAAGATAATGAAAAAAAGATCGACTTCTGTTCAATTGTGATGTGTAGGTGAGAGTTTAAAAGAACGTTCCATACTATAAATAATAAACACTATTACAGTTTAATTTGAAGCAAATTTAAGACACATTTGAATCAGTGAGGACGAGCACGATACATTCTTGTTCTTAAACTACGTAACTGTTCATTTTATTTATACAGACAGCCGTAATCAAGCTCGAAAAAATGTAAAAAGCTTCAAAGAATATATTTGATCTGTCATGTTTTATTCCAAAAAAAAAATCTCTTCGCGTTGTCCATAATGTTGCACGTTTGTCTAACAATCGATTTAGTGTTTTAAGCATCGTTCGTATTCTATGATTGATATCATAAGTTTTTTTTTTCGACATTTTCCATTTTCAGTTTCATGGTTGACATTTGTTTGCCTGTTTCATCAGTTGTCGTATTTGTCTCATGATGAATCATCATGAATTCGGCTAGATCTTCAAAATGATCGATTAATTTCTGTTGTTTTTCTTTAATTTGTTTTAATAATATAGATGGATTCGAAAAATTTTCGTCGTACTATTATGTATCGAATCATTTTGTTCAATACCACATTTCCCATACATCTATAAGTACATTTGCTGCTTGATGTGTATGTTATTTGACTAGTTCATTATTCAAAACGAAATTATGAATATATTTTTCTCATCGAGATAGTACAAATTTTTCTGCCACGACAGCTGTAAGTAGAGCAACGACTAAAATATCAATCGTACTTGCTATGGCAGCTATCGTACCTAATGATTATAGTATTTCGAATTGAATAATTCAACATTACAGACTAATGAACTTTTCTTTCGGATCGATGTCAGAGTAATTCGACAGAGAGAATGAAAAAATTTTTTGAACGATGTTTTTCAAAGAGTTATCTAAAACAAATCGAAAAAGTCGTAGCAAGATGTGTGAGAATCGAAATCCTTGATTTTTCAAAAATTAAAATAAATATGTTAGGACTAAAGAGAATATCGACTTAGTATTGTTATGTAGTTCTTGTGGGTATGAGCGAAGACAAGACCCACACCCACACCCTAAACTCTAAATTCGAAAAACTGGGAAATGTTTCGCATTAATTTTTCTATTCTCAACGTATTGCATTCATATGCATCTTGAATGTATTACTAACATTACAGGAAAAGACGTTTACTGGGATTGGTTTGTGATTATGAAACAGATATTAGACATAATTGACCTACATGTCAAGTATTATCTGAGAACGATATATTTTTTTTTCTCTTTGAAAACATTAATCAATTAGATCAATAATGAAAAAAAAAATTGGAAGTCATGTCTTCTGAATGAGGATATACATCGAATGGTGTTTCATTGACGACAACTTGATTAACAAGTCATCTTCCAGCTACACTGCACTCACCATATATTGATAACTCATTCATATCGGACCTCCGTTTATTTATCATTTACAATCCTTTATATATAATGAAAAATTATAGAAGTGATGCAATAACATGTACTGTAATGATGAATATTTTCTACTAGTCTATGAGTGTAATTATGTTAGTTCGTTGTTTTTTCGTTACTTGTATACAAGGCACGAGCTATAGGAAAGAAAAAAACCATGTTTTTTTTTTTCATGCAATGATTATAAAATTCTGTTTGTTTGACGATTTCGGATATAGAAAAAAAAAAGCGTTGATGTATTTTGTTTTAATTTAAGAGACAAGAATGAAAAATTTATCTTGTTTATTGCAATAAAATCTTCGTAAAATTCTCAAAAAAAAAGAAAAGAATAATAAAATCATTAATTTAATTTGATTCGATTATTCGACAGCAAAAATCTTTATTGTTGGATTGATACATGAATATTGTCAATTATTTCTACAGTACGAACTTTGATTGTAACTTCAATGGAATATGTATTTCGATGACATGGTAATAGTTAACATACAAATAAATTTTCTCTAGAAAGCCGTAGCTTGAGATATAAGCAGTCTATGATAATTATTTCATTGAGCTGTTATTAGATTCATTCATTCTATTCAGGAGAAAAACTCCGTCATTGTCTAATCACTATTTTCACTAAATTTAATAGGTTATAAGTAATATACCGTGTCGATTCCAAATGCCAATACGAGAACTACAGCTAAGACTTCAGAGATTCATTTTATATAGAACTAGTTTTTCCTAGCGAAAGATTTCTTTTTTGTCAAAAACTATTTTAATCTATCCCCGCCTTGTATAGCATGTCGATTCGACTATAAACAGTACTTTTTTCGTTTTAGAAACATTAATAAGACCACTAGAAACAATTTTATGTTTTTCCTTCTGATCTTCATAACAAAAACTATGCTTCTTTTTCTCTGACTTTTTCAAAGAAATAAGTTTTGGAAGAGAAGTGTCTCTCATATTTAGGTTGAGTGTGCATTGTTAGATGAATTTCGCATCTACATTTTATTGTTTTTACTGAAAAAAAAAAGAGTTTAAATAATATCACTCGTTAATTACAATTATTAATATAATTGCACAAGCAAGATAAGAGAACTGTACTCTCTCATCTTATATACTTTTCGTCTATAATAATTTGAAAAATTGGAAACCTTTCATGTTGATTTTTCCATTCTCAATATGTTTCATTCATATTCATTTCTAATTTGTTACTAACATCACGAAGAAAAGTTGTCCATTCACACTGGTTGTGATTATGAAATAGATATTAGTCATAATCGATCTACATGCTAAATATTATCCGAGAAAAATATTGTTTTTCTTTTTTTTTTAAGACCATTAATCAATTAGATCAGCAATGCAAAAAAATATTAGAGGTCATGTTTTTTTGAATGAGTACTGTGATTCTATAACAGTAGTGGTGTTTCATGTGCGATAGTTTGACCAACAACCCATCTCCCACCTACGCTACACCTGCTATGCGTATCGATAATTCATCCAATTCGGACCTCCATTTATTCATCATTTATAATTCTCAATATATTATGAAAAGTTATGGAAGTTATGCAATGACATGTGTTGTAACGATGAAATCTCTTATTACTCTATAGGTGTAATAATGTTAATATTTTTTTTTGTATTTTGTTAGTCGTATACAAGACAGAAATCATAGGAAGAAAAAAAATGACTTTTTGATGAAGCTTCCAATATCACACATTTCAGTAGGCGAACTACATGAAATTTTATGGGTGTAATTTTACACCAATCAAATTACTTATTTCAAAATGATTATTTTTCGTTGTGTTTGTTCCCTTAGAGATCGTAAATAAAGATATCGATGGTAATTGAATATGGCCGCAGAAATGATTCCATCCGAATAGGTTTCAATCTCTGGTCTTTATCGAATTTGACTAGTAACATTTTAATTGATTTTTAGTAAGAAAAAAAAATTGATTAAAATCAGACTTTTTTCTGTTTTCTTATGTGGAAAATTTTTCTTGAACATTTCAGTTTGGTTATTTCGTGGATGGCATACCAAACAATAACAATTGAGTTTTATGCAGTTTTAATATAGAGAATTGATCAACATAATCGAGCACTCACCCTAATGACAATCTCCAAGTTGACATTCAATAGAAGAAAAAATGAGAGGACAAATTACAACGCCCAAGATAAAGAATCATGCATCGATATTCTGAACTTACAATGAATTTCTCTTCCTAAATCATATGAAAGTACATGCTGATCGAACATCTTCCGCAGAGTTAAAGGCACATGACACCTTTCTGCTGTTAAAAACCGAAATATCAACTACACAAAATTAAATTCAACAGCGACAATCCAATATTACACATGCTTTAACCAGTCATTAACGACCTCCCAAAAAATTTATCGTAAACTTTACCTTCATAAGCTATTTTAATCGATTGTATCGATGCATTATTAATGAAGAATAATATTTCGGAAAATCACATTAGAATCAGCCGTTGAATATTTTTCCGAAGAGTTGGCAACAAAGCTTTTGTAATGTCCCCTTGTAGTTACGATTGGAAGACAATTTTGAGAATGACTCAATCATCAATGTGAATAGTAAAAAAACAAAATAAGAAACGTTCTATAATCGATCGTCGTACAATAATAAGAAAATTTTCTCTTTCGTCGTCGCATTACATTTCTTCCGTTCTTTATACAAAGAAGAAAAAAAAATGAAATTACACATACACCTTATCTCACATATTGAATAAATATACATGTTGGAAAAAACAACTTATATATACATGCGTTTCAACAAAGCATACTATACACAAAAAACGAATAGTGATGTCTAACAATACTACTCAATCTCTTCTTACAACACCTCTTGAACTTATCTATTGTCTTCTGAAGAATATCAATCAAATTACAGCTTCCTTTTCAACTCGAGATGTCCGTATACAACCTGATACGACTACAGACAACTATTCTGATTTTCAGGTAAACGCTTAGAGAAAATATAGTTCGCATAATCTATAATTAATTTGATTGTATTTTGTGATAATCGATAGAAATCTAATCGAAATTTAGCTAATAAAATTATTATCAGATTGAATAGGTATATCTGATCAAAGCTAACAGTTAGATTCGATAGTACATTCGATAATTGAATTAGATTAGATTTTTAAATAAAACTCTTCAATCTGATAATTTTATCGTTTAGTTTCATAAACTAAGATCAATTTCATTATACAATATTTCTTATGACTCATAAAAACTTCAACAAAGTTATCTAACGTCATATCACAAAGTTCTTTGATATTATCTTGTAGATAAGAATAAAATAAAACCATCAGTCTGAACTATTTAGAATATTTTTTTTATCAAGTATGAAAAATTGAATATTAAATAAAATCATTCAACTAACAAAGTTATATAAATTTTATCGTTCTTTTAAAAACATTCAAAAATATTGAATCTAGCAAACAAGGAAATTAGCAATAGAAATTTATTGACTGTTCAGTAAGTCATAAAATAGACACACTAAAAATTGAATATCTCCATTATAACTCGACCAAATGGGCTCATTTTTTTTACCAAGGATAGAAGCATGTTCACATTCCAAATTCATACGGACAAGGTCAGTGAGAACCTTTGTTAAATAGGGCTCATACGGATTTGAAGTGTGAATATGCCTCTATCTTTGATAAGAAAATCAACTCGTTTGCTCGAGCTGTAATGAAGATATTCAATTTTTAGTGTGTCTTTCTCATGACTTACTGGACATTCTATACAACAAATAACTAACACATAATACCATATTCTCTGCTTATATTTAATTCATGTTTAATATAGACACTTACGACCCTCAATCTTGGAGGAAACAATATTGGTGTTAAAGGAATAAAATATTTGCTAATTGCATTAGAAAATAACACAGTAAGACTAATTCTCGTTTATCTATTTTATTTTCATTAGTATATCATTTAATATAGACACTCACTACATTGGATCTTCAAAACAATAAAATAGGTGATGAAGGAATACAATATCTAACGAATCTATTACAAGATAATACTGTAAGAAATATTCTCTATTGATATTCATCTATTATCTATCAATGGATATATATATATAGATACTTATCACACTTAATCTCGGAGGAAATGAGATTGGTGATGAAGGAACAAAATATCTGGCAAACACACTACAAAATAATGCAGTAAGATGAATTGTTTTTGTTTACTTGATCATAATCACTACTTAACATAGACACTTAAGACACTCGATCTTCAAAATAATAAAATCAAAGACGAAGGAATACAATCTTTAGCATGTGCATTAGAAAATAATACGGTAAGATTTCTTTTTTTAAGGTCAATATCTCATACATATTTATCGTAATCGATTAACATAGACACTCACCATACTTAATCTTGGAAGAAATCAAATTAATATTGATGGAATACAACATTTAGCAAATACAATAGAAAATAATACGGTAGAAAAAAATAATCAATTTATTCATTTATTTCTAATCTTTAATATAGACACTCACTGAACTAAATATTGAAGGCAATGGAATAGGCAATGAAGCATTACAATATCTAGCATATGCATTAGAAAATAACACAGTAACAAAGTTTTGTTTTTTCCTATTTTTATAATTCATACTGATATCAAACTTGTAAAATAGACATTGATAAAATTGAATCTTGGACGAAATGATATCGGTGTAGAAGGAATACAGTTTATTGCGAATGCATTAGAAAATAATACAGTGAGAAAAATTTTTTCTATTCATCTTATACATTTCTACTTCTCGATAAAGACACTTACTACACTCAATCTAGGTGGCAATGTACTCGGCAATGATGGCATAGAATTATTGACAACTGCATTACAATATAATAATGTTAGATGAATTGTAGGTTTTTATTTATCTAATATTTATTTCTATTTTATTAGACACTCACTACATTGCATCTAGGATGGAATAGTATTAGTGTAGAAGGAGCACAATATCTAGGAAATGTATTAAATAATAATTCAGTAAAGAAGAAGACTTTTTTTTTTTTTCTTAAGTAATTTACATTCATTTCTTTTGATCAATATAGATACTTGTTCAATTGGATCTTCAAAGTAATGAAATCTATGATGATGGAATACAATATATAGCGGATGCTTTACAAAATAATATTGTAAGATCAATTCTTTATGTATCTTATCTATCTTTTATGAGTTGCCTAATACGAGTTTGAATATAAATATGAAGAGCTCACTGTATATTATTACTTCGAAAATAAATGAAAAAAAAAAATCCTTTTTCCTATAGCTCTCCGAAGCATAAACTGGAAATATGTGTGAGAATGAAACATAATGGTAATCTAAGGCTAATATCTTGACAGTTACTTATGCTGATTCGAATAATGTTAGGGCTAATTTTTAGTGCGATGTATCCCATGCTCAACTGCTCAAAAAGACTTTTCCCTGCGTAATTGATCTTTTATTTCAGCGTCGCGGCGTGGGAACACAAAGCATTTTCCGAAAAGTCGCGATCCATGCTCGTATCTGTGTACAATATAGGTTTGCCTTCGAATTTATAAGTTCGATAAATAGATGAGTAGAAACTTTTTTCTTTTGTTTTTGTGGTGAGACTTTTCTTTGAATTTTTCATTTATTTTCGAACTCGAATTAGGCATTTTGCTTCTATCTTTTGGTCATCTCTATTTCACTCAATATATAGACACTCAAAACGTTGAATCTTACACGAAATAATATTAGCGACAAAGGTGCACATGATTTAGCCAGTGCTTTAGAAAATAATACAGTAAAAAAAAATATCCTATCCATGATTTATACATTTATCATCATCTATGTACATAGACTCTCACTAATCTACATCTTGCATTGAATCATATCACTGATGAAGGAGCACAATCTCTAGCTAATTTATTGGAAAATAACAGAGTGAGATGAATATCTTAGTTATGTTATATTCTAAAACTCTATTCATTGTTAAACATAGACACTCACTATAGTGGATCTTGCATTTAATGAAATTTGTGTCGAAGGAATAAAATATTTAGCAAATGCATTACAAAAAAATTTAGTAAGATAAAGTTTCGTTTTTTTTTTTATGAATTATTTCAGACTTATCTTCATTGTAGGTACTTATCACATTAGATCTTCGATATAATCGACTCGATGTCAATGATAGATCAATACTCAGTGGACTATATGAATGTAATGAAACTGGAAATATACTCATGTTATAGGATTCTTCTATTGTTAAATCAATTTGTTTGCTTCATGGAAATATTCTTCTCAATAATATTCTGTTTTCTTATTTTGTTTGTTTTTAAATATTTTTGCGACTTTCGTTTTTTTTCCACTATAATTATAATAAATTCAAACATTATTACATTGATATCCAGCTTCTGTTTTACATGTTATTATCATTGTTAATAAGCCTTGCACTGTATAAATATCAATTTTTCCCAAAAGATGTTCACTATATCCAATAGTAATCGAAGTTTGTACAAATCGTTGTCTAGTAATTGGTAATTGTTTATTTAATTCACCAAATAAAATCCAATTTGATAATTTTGAAAAAGGTACAAAAACGAAAAGATGAAATGATGAATAATATGTTATTAAATCTTGTGCACATGATGGGATTAATATTGTTGAAATATTTGTTGATGTAAACCAATAATAATCTCTTGGATTTTCAAGTTCAAAGACAACGTAAATATCAGATATTCTTCTATTTGGATAATCATCTTCTTCTGTATTAAATAATTCATTCCAAGAGAATGTATAGGATTCAGTTAAATTTGTTATCATAACATATTCAACAAAGAAATTTTGTTCTGCATGAGAATTAAATGTATGCCACATTTCTCCGTTTTGGACCATCATTACCTAGAAAAGTTGAATCCATTGCAGTTGCTGGTCGTTCTGGACGAAATAGAACACCATCCGATCGACATAATTGATTAACAACAGTTAGATTTGTATTACCAATTTTATCTGACATAGCAACACCACCTAGAAAAATTTCATTATATAACATCAATTAATATGCTCTATAATTTATATCTAACTCTTATTATCTGCTTTAGAATTTTTTGTAGATTTTTAAACATTAAATTTGATTTTTCAAGTTAAATCATATCAGAATTTGAAATTCAGTGAGCTCTCAAGATAGAAGTATATTAACCTCTCAGTCTCAGCAGAAGTAACATGTTGTTCTTTGTTTCTTTAGAGATAAGTCTTCCAATTGATAAACTGCTTTTAAGTCGAAACTCTGTGCATTATGTATACCCGAATGACCTATGAATATCTTGGAAAGAGTTCACGTCCCTAATTTATTGCTTCGAAGACATTGCACCTTTACGATATTTTTTAAATAAATGCCATAGTTCTTCTCAGAAGCACCAGAAAAACTAATTTTCGAATTTTGACTTGAAAATTTGCATAGAGACAGGCCTTCTCTGTCAAAAATCTATTTTCATTCCAGAACAATCGATCTAGCTAAAATTTTTAGGAAATATGCTTGCGAGCATAGGAAGCTTACAGTAACAATTTCAGTCCGAAATATTGAGTTCTTCAAGAATTATCTCTATATCAAGAGTCAAAAAGTAGGTCTCCCCAAATTTAATGATACAGATTTCTGATGGGTATCAAGATGCAGCTAATACTTACTGCTACAACTTAACAGAGATCGATTTTCTCAATTTTTCTTTATTAATTTTTCATGTCAATTTTTCTTGACAAGTTCGAAAAGGGCGTGGGTGTGGGTCTGTGAGTATGGCTAGGGATGTACTGGGACTGAAGACTTCCTAACAAACATGGGAATTTTTCTCTATGAAAAATCCCTGAGACTCTACACGATTTTTATCTAGAGTTGCTTAGCTTGACCTAATTTATATGTGCATACAATTGGACAGATCGATTACGAAACTAAAAGGTCGAGTCTCGATCAGTCTGGGTCGAAACATTAAAAAAAACAAAATTTTGGTCGAAGCTGAACGAGACTCGACCTTTTACTTTCGTTATCGATGTGTCTAGTTGTATAATATATAAATTAAGTCAGGCTGAGCAACTCTAGATGGACATCTCATAGAGTCTCAGTGCGGATGTGGGTGCCGGTATGTTACATATTTGATGAAAAAATGTCGCTGATGCACACGGAGAAACTATCACTTCATACGACTGCAAAAGCAATATTTTCAAAGAAACCCAACTTGTGAGGGATATGTTTGACATTGATTGATAGAAAAATGTGTGGATGAGTGTGGGTCTGAGAGTCTGTGTGTACTGTGGATGTCGGTGTGGGTGAAAACAAGATTTGTACCCACACTCTACATCCGTACATCAACATCTAAACTCTCAGCAAGATTTTATCATTTCTTTATGCAGACATATTCGAAAAATAAACTATATTGCAAACATTTTGGGACACTCGGTATTTCACAGTGTTTAATATCTTGATTATAACACTATCATTTCTTAATAAAATTCAATGTGTTTTTTTTCACCAAAATGATCAATACAAAAAGCTCTACAAAGTCTGATAAAATGAAAAGTTTTTTGAATATTTTGTATTTTTTGTGATTGACTGTCCATGAAACTATCCTATATCAATAAAATGATTTTGTAGGTTTTTATGACATTTTTTTCTTAGCACTGAAGTTGATTTTGTTGTTATTGTATTTTATATTCAAGGGCTTTTCGTATTGAATATATATAGATGATACTCGACCTCTACTATACACTACAGTATAGACTACGCCAAAAATCCAGTTCTCATAATTGTTTTATCAAGAAGCATAATGTTTGTAAAGAACGAATATACGTTAGAAAGATTAACTAATAATATACTCTGTACGCAAAATCTTAAAGCAAATGTTACGACAATCTGATTTTGAATATGTTTGCCAACGGCTTATGAAATGGCAATAAAATGTTAAGAAGAAGAGAAAAATGCTATATTAAGATTATTAGCAACTGAAGACGTACTGTAAGAAAGTTTTGATAGAATTGTCATTAGGTAGTGTCTCGAATAAGAATAGTTTCTGTTTTAACTACAAGCGTAGTTCATGCAAATTTGGATTACTTTGTGGCTGTACATATTGTCGATTGTGATTGACATATGTGCCGGAATCACGAGTCCTCTTCGACCATTTACTACCTATGATCATTCGGCAGTACTTCAGACAAATATGGCTGAACTTTGGTGGACAGTGAATAATGTTGAACAAGAGATTACGTTTGAGTTGCATATGAAGACTATCGGATGGATTGGTCTTGGGATTAGTCCAGGTAGAAAATCAAACAGATGATTGTTGTTATAATTCCTATATTTTTAAATGATGATTAGCTGGAGGTATGAAAGGCGCTGATATCGCAGTTGGATGGGTCGACTCTTCTGGCAAAGCTCATATTCAAGTATGACAGATATCTTTTCTTTTGTTGTTGTTGTTACTGACTTATACACAAATTGATCGATCGGATCTCTTTTTAGGATCGATTTGCATTCGATAAAATGAAACCAGTCATAGATAACACAACTCAAGATTGGTTTCTTCTTCAAGGTCAAGAACAAAATGGATGGACAGCTATTCAATTCAAACGTTACTTTGATTCTTGTGATACAATGGATGTTCCTATAAAAGTATGAGCGTTAATTCCGTTATTAAACTAATGGAAATATAATATTTTATGAAATAGTCTGGTACAAATATTCTTATATTTGCCTATGGTCTTGTCGATCTTGATTTATCTCGATCAGAAGACGATATCACGTATCATGAAAGCAGAAGAGGTGCACGTATGTTACCACTTCGATCATATTCCAATCAACCGGCAGATGATATGTTTGTTGGACTTGATTTCTTCGATTTTAGCTTCGAGAATGTGTGTAATTGTATTACAATTTCTTTTTTTCTTCTTATTTCTCATCTCTTTGTTTAGTATGTTGTTCCACCGACTGACACTACGTATCATTGCAAAGTATTTAAAAGTCCAAGTACATTTCTTGCGAAAAGACATGCAATAGCCGTATATTCTATTTATTTCATAATTATTTTACTTTTATTTTTGTATTTTCTCATTTTTTTTGCAGCATAAAATATTGATTGATTCGAGAAATGTGAATCTTTTACATCATCTAGACCTATTTGAATGTCCATCCACGGATGTATATGATGATGCTAAACTACCCGATGGTATATGCGATGACATTCTCAATGGAACAAGAAAGTGTTCGTTAACTATAGCTACCGCTTGGGCAATTGGTGCTGATGTGGTAAGAGAAAAATGATAATAACAAATGACTAATAAAATGGCTTTAACTTCATATAGACTACTGTATATCCAGAAGAAGCTGGTTATGCTGTTACCAGTGACATCGGTACAAAATATTTCATGATTAAAATACACTATGATAATCCACGACTAGCTTCGAGTAAGATGATCGGATATGTGTTACAAGTATAGAGTAATATTGATTGTTTTATTTTTCTCTAGATCTTCAAGACAGTTCAGGCATTCGATTTTATCTTGGCAATAAACTTCGACAATATGATCTTAGTTACCTAATATTTGGAACTCTGTCTAATCCAGCAAGTCTTGCTATTCCGCCAAAAGTCGAACAATTTATTGTCGATTCCTATTGTCCTCCTGAAGCTACTCGCGTATGCATATTATTTCACTCACACGAGATTTGAGATTGTTCTTATATTCTTCTTTGTCAGATAGGATTTTCCTGTTTCTGGAATCAATGTTGTGTCTGCATTGCCACATACTCACTTACAAGGTACATGACTTGTACGATAATGAAAAGATTAGAATTCATTGGTTTCTCTATAGGGTATAGCGTGTGGACCAAACTAATTCGTAACAATACAGCTGTTCAATATTTATTTAATGCAGAAGCTTACGATTTCAATTATCAATTCGCAAATCGGCTACCAAAACCGATCAAAATCTATCCAGTAAGAAATTAAACGGCAAACATTCATCAAATTTGATCAACATTTAGGGAGATGCATTTGCTACTCGTTGTATATACACTACAAGAAACAAGAATGAGATCACACTGGTAGAATGATGAGATAGGATTGTGCAGATTTTAAATCATATTTTATTTGTATAGGGTGGGCAGCGGACAACAGACGAAATGTGTTCTCACACATTTTCTTATTATCCTCTTGTCGACAGTTTAGCCGGATGCATGACAGCAATTGATGAGACGGCATGGCGAACTATTATGAATACATCTTCGTTAATTTTGTTTTATGAACTTTAAAATTTTTATTGTTTCTATTTTCATTTGAATAGGCCAATAGACAACAGTAAACTAGCGCAATGGCTTCATAATCTTACATGGACAACTGAATCAACTGCTCAATGGCAAGAGTTCTTTGATAAAGCTCAGCGTCGTATTGTTTACGGTCGAGAAGGTCAAATGGAATCTAAAATTTTACCTACCATCCCGAAATATGAAGATCTCAAAGTTGAACTATGTAATAAATAAATGTGGAAACCTCGGATTCAAATCCGAGAGTTATGTGTACTTCAAAAAGTGAATGAGACAGATGAGTCACCCTAGAATGTGTGGACATCAAAATTGTCCTGGCAAACCCTTTCTGTAATCACTTGATTTCTATTGGTTACTGCTCAACCAATAGGATTTAGAGATGAATAGAGCTCAGATTTGAACTCTTCACCTTGATTTACCCTAAGAAAGTCGTTTTTCCTATAACTTGATTTCTATTGGTTACTGGTCAACCAATGAGATTTCGAGGCGAATGGAACACAGATTCAAGTTCTCCACCCTAGAAAACCTCAAACTATCATCTCTGTGATCGGAAGATAGAGCTCTAATTGTAGATCACATAGAGCGTGGACGAAAACAGAACTGAGTTCCGTTTAATTATCTTTGCAATAGGTGAGTTAGCTTCCTTGTTTCCTTATGTTTTATATACCATTTTGTAGCTCGTGAAATTCTCTATCGAATGGTATATAATAGTTGGGGTTTTAATTGACCATGATAGGAAAAGTTTTTAAGGGAAACAGAGAAGGGTCGATTTTCTCATAGGGAAGCATAGGGAAAAAAATCAGTATTTTTGCAATAACTCAGGAAGAGCTCGTCCAATCAGGCTCATCTTCGAACTCGACTGAGACATTGATGAGACTGAACTGTGTAGAAAATTTCATCACGATCTGACTCTCCTTTCGAAAGTTATCGTGTATACGGACGGACGGACGGACGGACGGACACACTGACCGATTTTAGTAGTGTACTCACTTTTTGAGTACACAAAAAGAGATTCCCATCAGTACCGATCAATCGTGGCACGAATCCAATAACTCGATGGCTTGTCAACACACATTATTTTCCTTTGCATTAATTTTCCTTGTTTTGAAAGCTATATTTTCATAAACGGAAAGTAAGATTATGCTGTCTATTAAGATTTGACAGCAAGCATATTTTAGTGGTCAGAGGATGCTGCTCTACTTGCATCGGTTCAAAACGACGTAAAATGCTATTGGTTACTTCTTGAGGAATATGGATATTGGGTGTATGGTTCAATGTTTCTACAACTACACCTTCTAGTACTCACAGCAAAAGTGCTTTACTAGATATCAAATTTTAAGTTGAAAACAATATCATGAGAAGAAGCACATTGAGTTACATATTTGATGAAAAAATGTTACTTTTGTACATGGAGAAGCTATAATTTCATAAGACTGCAAAAAGCAGTATCATATCAACCAGTAGAAAAAAATAAACTAAAATTCTAAATCGTGAGAGTGGTACCATTCGAAAGAGCGCGAAAAACTGAGTATTTACCTAAAATTTCACCGTTGGGTATGGTGTACACCCAAGCAAAAATTTTTTAAATATGATTTACAGCAGGAAATTTTTTTTGTTGTCTCTCTAAGTTTTTTCTTGCGTTCTGTCGATAGCAAGATATACATACATATATATATATATATTCAACTACGATAGAACGGAAAGAAAAAAACTATCCATAGGCATGGCATATAATGATAAACAAAAAAAATTATTCAAATAGAAAACTAAATACAAAATTGTTTAACATTTCGCAGAATAGAAATGGGATTAAAGATTCAAAAGTGCAGTTTAGAACTATAGGATTAAGCATTCTCTCAATCAATTTTTATTTCATTAGTTCTAAAGATTCAATATTGTTCAATTATTTTTTAATTTCTGAAAGTTAAGTAGTTCGATGTTATTCGAGTCGAACCGACAAATATATTGCTTTCAACTTTTCATCAATGTAAATAAGTCAAAATTTTCTATCTTGATCTAATATTAATATATCAAGTCTTTCGAAAATGTTGTATCTCATACGACTACATTAAAAATTAGATGGATGAAAATAGCGTAAAGCATTAAACAAATAATATGAATTATCTAAAAGGCATGTGATCTGGTTTACCATACACTTTTAAAGAACAGTCATTTCAAGAAGACCCTTTCCTTGCTTTTGTCTTTGCTTAGCTATCTATTTTCCGGGTCGTTCTAATAGAGAATCATAAATGCTCATATATTATGTGCACGATTAATAGAAAAAAATGCTCTATAATTGTTAGTGACGATGTTCGGATTTTTTTAATAGAATAAAATCAAGTATAAAATAGTTTTTAAAGATGAATAGATTGAACTGATAAGCATATATATTCAGAGATATTTATGCATAAGATACAACTTTTTTATTTATATATCTGAAAATTGCATAAATATCCCATGATATGCTGTATATTTCTTATTGATCAACCCTTTGAATGGCTTCAAAATGAAATTCAGTTTAACTTTTTGGCAAGTCAACGATAAAATGACAATTACTGAACTAAGTCTTTTAATTCATGGCGTTTTAATGATGTCATTCATTGTCTTCAATACCAGATAAGATAGTGCAGAAAAAAAGACAGTAGCATGTGTTCTTCGAATCAATCATATAGTGATAGAGGATGAGGCAAGGGGGAAATAAGTGACTTTTATGACTTAAAATCATTTAGATCACGTAAATTGCGAAAGTAATTAAAAGTCATTAAAATACCTCAAACTATTCCAAAGAGGATGCTAGTCAGTACTTACCTAAAATCTGTTGATATGTGAATGTATAGATATACGTTTCGAATAAGATATAATAACAATGATTTTATCAAAATATACGTACGATATAACGAGTTTTTGATAATATAAAACGATAGGCTTAGAATCACTCTAAGACATTTCATTAAAGTTTTTAAGCACGTAATGGTCTATAAAAAGAATCGGCCTTCGATATGGAAAACTTCACATCATGTCTGCTTGCATCGAAGTAGGCAGTAACAAGATACTAAATTGTTTTCGTGACCGACTTCGACAACGTTCTTCGAAAAATGTCGGACTACAAAGATTACTATCTCATGTATGTATAATATGAGACCACACGAGGTGGATCGGAGAAACTCATAAAAGCGACCATGTTTAATTATCTGTGATTCCTGCTAATTTTTAATCTACTATCAAATTTCAATAGCAATGACTAGTCGAAAGTATTCATCATTTGATTGTTTGTATATTCAAATAGGTTATTCGCTCATCGTTTATCCACAAAAAAAAATTTATGCATGTTTCAATACTACTTTTGGTGATATTCGTCTATTCTGATAATGAATTTTACTGAACTGATGGTTAGCTGACTGACTAGGATGAAGCCAGGGTATGGGTGTGATAATAAAGAAGAAACACATACACACACCCACACCCACACCCTTTTTTCGTTCTTCCTAGCAAAAGAAAAAGAAAAGGAATTTATATCTTTTAAAAGGATTTATGAAATAAAAACAATACACTCTAAACAGTAGTCATTGAAGTGGCACCGAAGTCAGTTCTCGTGTACATGAAAAGCAAACAAAAGTTGAAAACAATAATAAAAATACAAGAAAATAGTGATGTTGGATTTTTTCTCTCGTTTCTCTGTCGTTCGTTTGTTGTTGAGTGTCTTCGAAAATAAAATATTCAAGGCAAAAAAAGAGAGAATTTATTGACTACATTAAACAACAAAAAACAATTTTAGTAAATGGTAGTGACAAAGTTTCAATCCCTCATTGCACATCGATTATTTTTATGACAAACTTATATACAATTAATAGATCAAACTACGTGATTTTGTAGAGAAAAAGTAGGGCTACCTTCTGACGACAAGATACTTTGAAATGCTTAAGTATAACATAATCATATGATCATTTATTTCATCTCGAGTAAATTTTTTTATCATGCAATTTTCCAACAAACAAAATGTGCTTGTCGATATAATTAAAACACATTTGTATGATAAGTTTATAAATCATTTAGATATTTTTTCGTGAAACACTTTTTATATAGTTTTTTCAAAAAATCCATGATCACAAAGTTTACTCAAGATCAATAAAAGGATGTGGGTGTTTTCGCTAATCTACACACACCCACACCTTTGCTGAAGAAAAATGTAGAAAAAGTTTACTTACTCATTGAACCAAATCGTAGGTTTGTAGAAGTACGAATTAATGAGGCTTATGGACATATATCAGAGTTGTAACTGGCATAGGGAACATGGCCGGTAGAAACGACTTTTCTGGACCGGTCGGTCTAGAAATTTGTCCTATTTTTCTCTTAAGTTTTGTTCAGTTTTTGAAAAAAAAAACAATCGTAAAAGCGCTTATTTTAGCATCTCAAACAATCTTTTAGAATGTTAGTGACAAAATCCAGAGACGAAAATGCCGTGAGCCATTAATATCAAGTCCATATTTATTATAATATACCTCACATATCTCGTCTACTTACTATGCCAAAAATATAACAAAGGGGGGGGATGAGTCTTCGAGTCTATTTATTTCAGATTCTATAGTAACGAATCTATCACTATAGTAGTCTTTGGTAATTTTTTAGCAGGATGTGGTTGTGGGTATAAATAGACTCACAGCATGGAGGAAAATCCATAACACCCATTAAACTCACTTCAAAAGTTAAAGTAGTATCCCTATTGTTCACTTCATTTACGTAAAAGACAATCTAATTTTTAAATAGCTTAAGACATTGCTATTGTCTATGGTCGCCATCTATGTAACTTTAATCAGTTTCTCTCTATTTTTCATGCTACTCACCTCGCTGGTTAGATTTTTAAGAAATTCATTTTCTTTCGCATTCTATTATATCTAAGTTAAGACGAATTAGTAAGATTTCTTTTCACATTGTTTTCGTCACATGTTTTCATTTGGAGCTACGTTAAATCCATTTAATTTTACAGTAGCACAAACTGTGTCTCCAGAGGCGCCTGATCCTTCTGCAATGGCCGATACTCAATTGAAATCATGTGAAATTGAAGGATGTCAACGCATCTCGGCCACAATATGTCGTCATTGTAAAAAAAATGTCTGCCGACGTCACTTCATTGAGCATGCAGATCAACTTGTACAAGAGCTGAATCCATTATGCGATAGCATTAACAAGTTGGGTGAGAGAATTAGTTCTGTTGATAT